GTGCTCTGGTCTGTGAATGAGTATAGCAGACCAGCATCGGAGCAGCCGTGAGCCCCTGGGCACATCGGTCTCAGGGCAGGGTGGGAAGAGGGGGTCGTGCTTTTCAGATGAATGGTTCAGTGCCTGCCTTTTGAGATCATGTTTTATTGTTATCAGGATGTAGGTGGGGAGATGAGAATCTGTTCAGAAATTATTAGGAATTTAAGGATGGCAACAGCGCAGTGGTAAGCCAAGTGCAGGGCTCCTCCAAGAATAGGTTCTCCCAAATTCATCTGTGGTGTGACCTGTCTCACCCAAGCCCTGGTTGTTACTTGGGCAAATGTTTTAGCATGACAGGCTCCTGGACTACTGCAACAGGGATTGCCTAACTCACTGCCCCCCCCCCCCAACTGGCCCCATTCTAGGGATGGAGAAATGGAGGCACAGCGATGGCAGGTGCCTTAACTTTCAGTAAGTCAGAGGAAGTACTGAGATTGGATCATGGACCTCCCAGCTCTGGGCTATTACTACTCAGCCCCGTCTGCGCATGCGGGTTTTCATGCCTATAGGGGCCATTGACCTTCGAGAAGGTCAGCGTGGAAGGGGTAGCAGGATTCAGATCTGCCAGTCTCGGTGTAATGACCCCATAAATGGATCCCCTGTGAATACTAGAGATTTTCCTTTATAGAGAACTCTCATCTTTTCATTAAAAGCACAATAATGGGAGGCTGAATTTTCCTAAAGCCATGGAGTCAGATGGAATGGTGATGCTATAAAAAATGATTACAGGTTTTCTAAGCAGGCTAGAGGCTGGGCCACAAGCGTATAAAACACCACTCCTTTCACATGTGAAGCCTGCCTGTCTCCACAGGAAGCCAGGCAGGGCCGAAGGACCTCCTGAGATGCAACTTTACTTACTGGTGGCTCTCTTGGGCTGGAGCTTTTGTTGGCCCTGGTTTTTCACTCATTGCTAACTTAGAGTTTAGTGAGAGCCTAGCAGGTGCTGGGGGATCCAGCAGGGTGGCCACATGATGCCCAGTTAAGTTTCATGCAAACAAAACAAATCTTGAGTTGAAGCATACCTTAGATAATATGTGGATATACTTGTCATAGAAAAAGCCTTTTTTTGTGTATGTAAAATCAGCATTCTTGTGCTGTAAACTGGACAACTCTAGTAGAGAAAATAGACAAATCTTCCTGCTCCGTGTGCACCTGCCAATCCAGTCTTCTTCTAGGTCCTCCATGACTTCCCCCTTCCTATTGCTCAGGGCCTTGGCACTCACTTGTCCACCTGTCCATTCCTGTCCTCTCCGTTCGCTGGCCAGCTTCTCCACAGCCTTCCAGCCCCAGCTTACACATCAACTCCCTGGGAGAAGTCTTCCAGGAACTGCCTGCCTCAGTTTCTCGCTATCTACTGGGGCTGCTACTTGTGGGCATGTGGCATGTTCCTGGACCGGGATCACACACAGCTCCCGTGTGTGCAAGAGTCTCAAAATCTCAGCGACTGCATTGGGTTCTTGTTGCTCTTTTGTGGTAGAGGAAAGGCCTGGGCCTTTGCAGGGAGGTCAGCTGCAGGGCAGCGAGGAGGCTGACCCAAGTGCACTGTCAAGGCCTCTATCTCACCCCAGCCCTAGGGCAGCCTCTTGGTGCGAAAAGGTCCTGCATTCTCCAGCTGGCCCTTGCTGCTAAGAGCACAGATGATTTATTTTGGGGCAGAAAATATGCATCCTTCAACCTGCATTCCCATCTTTGTTTTATTTTTTCTTAAAAAAAAAAAAAGCCAGCGAGCGAGAGAATTTATTTTTATTTGAAATGCAGATTTACAGAGAGGAGAAAGAGTGAGGTTTCCAGCCTCTGGTTCATTCTCTGAATGGCTGCAATGGTCCAGGCTGAGCTGATCCAAAGCTGGGAGCCAACTGCCTCTTCTGGTCCTCCCATTTGGGTGCAGGGTCCCAGGGACTTGGGCCATATGCTGCTGCTTTCCCAGGCCATAATCAGAGAGCTGGATAGGAAGGAAGTGGCCAGGACATGAACCAGCATCCCATATGGGATGCTCACACCACAGGGTGGCAGGTTAGCTTGCTGAACACAGTACCAGTCGCACATTCTCATCTTCCAAGGTGAACTTTAGGGAAGAAGTCTCACTACCCACTGCTCTGGTCTGAATCCCTGCCTTCTAAAGGACTCTGGATTCTCTGGTGTGGACTTCAAATTCTAGAAGCGTTAGAAGATTTCCCACTGTTCAGAGACAGGGACAACTAGGGCAGCTAGCGTCCTGAGCCATCCTTCCTAAGGCTGACATTTTTGGAGCATTTAATTGATTGTAAAGTGGTCCTCGCTTCATGATTTCATATTATTATTAGATTTTCAATAGGATTTTAAAAAATATTTATTTTTATTGGAAAGTCAGATATACAGAGAAGGAGAGACAGAGAAGATCTTCCATCCACTGATTTCACTCCCCAAGAGGCCACAAGGACTGGAGCTGTACCAATCTGTTGTGGACTAAGGAGTTGATTAGCATTTGTTAAGCTTAGCACCTGCAGGAAATGGGCTTGAGGCTAGTGGCACCTGGTCTATCAGACTCATTAGCATCCTATTGTTCTGTTAAGGGGCTTGGGGGGAAAAGTACATATGGCTGGTAAGCTTCACCTCAGATGGATGGATGGATGGATGGATGGATGGATGGGTGCATGGATGGGTGGATGGATGGGTGTGTGGGTGGGTGGATGGATGGGTGGGTGAGTGGGTGGATAATGGATGGATGGATTGATAGGGAAAGCTTTTTTTATGTGTCTGACATCCTTAGATTTTTCTTAATGGATCCTCCTTGCTGAGGTTTACCCTGAATATGTAATTTCGAGGTTGAGAACAGTTTTACCCTCTACTTAATATCCTATTGGGGCCCAGGGCGCCATCCATCCATCCACACATTCCTCTGTCCATCTGTTTACACATCTACTGTACACACTAATCTGTAAATGAGGCCATCGTAGTGCCTGCCTTAGTAGCTCCCATGGACTAGTAGAGATAAAACTGTCGGACTGACCAGGACTGGGTCATTCACTTTCTTGCCAGGAAAGGTGGAACTGTGCTGATAGTTCTGCTGAGATGAAGCTTACAGTTCTTTCCCCAAGGAACACACTGGGGCGCTGTCCTCTGAGTGACGCTGGGTAGGCAATCAGCTGGTCTCCGGTAGACAGAGGGGAGGATGGGAAAGGGCATGTGTGCAGGAGGCTTTTCATGGATTTTTTTTCCTTTTCTGAGCACATTCAAGGTGGGGCCCTTGGGTCCCTGTTATAAGGACTCACGAGCATCCGTCTCCTTCTAGATAACTTGGCTATAACTACCCACAACTGGATCACCACTCGCTCCCTCCACCCACACGATCAGCCGCTCCCTAGGGAGCGTGTTGGGTAACACAGTGAAGCTGTGCTTATGGTTGGGAAACTTAAGAAAGGAATTTCCTGATGCTTTGACAACCAGAAAATGTGTCCTAAAACTCTGCAGGGAGTGCCACGCCAGACCCAGGGGCCTGCAGGGGAGTTTGATGCTGAACACGTGGTTGTCTTTCGTGCACATTGGAGGTGTCTGGCAAGCTGTTACAAGAAACCGAGGCCTCAGGTCCACCCCTAAACCTCCTGCTAACATTGGTTTCTGCTGGGGTCCTGGGGATTTAAATGCTTTAACAGCTTCCCAGGTGATTCAAATGTGCAGCCTGGTTAAAACCTGTGGTCTAAGCGCAGAATGAAAAACCCTAACTGTGCCTCTTGGCTTCCAAGGTCCTAAGAGTAAGGAGGGCGGACACTGCGTTGCTGACAGCGTCTCTGCCTTGCAGCAGGGCCAGGCGTCCTGAAGCAGGCACCTGACGCAGGTAGGTGCTTCATAGGTGCTGGTGGAATGAGTGCTGAAAGCTTTGCACAAAGCTCCGAATGCGGCACAGGTGGAAGACCTCTGCCCTCCGGCCTCTCCCTTCCTCTTCCTGGCCCCTCCCCAACCACAGAGAAAGAGTCAGGTTGCTTGGGATCCAGCCATGGTTGTTCCAGTGGACTTGTCCCTCAGACACCTGCGGCACACAGCATCCTTCGGAAGCTCTAAGATGTCTTTGTTGCAGTGGGCTGGCGTGGAGTTGGGGAGGACTGCGTCCCACACATTTTAAGTGCCCCAGGGGGTTCTCCCGCGCCCTGTGAGTCTGTGTCCTGACTTGGGCTTGGCCCAACACCTGTAGGGCATTTACTGGGTGGGGGTGGGGGTGTAGTATGAGGTTCTTCAGTAAGAACCTGCTTATAACATGCACCTTAGGGCTTCATTAAAAACAGGTTTCTGAGCCTGGCCTCCCGGCTGCTCCAGAGAGGGGCCTGAAATGTTGGGCTCACAAGAGCATGCAGGTGTCCCCCAAGCCTTACTGGTGAGCCTGGGACCCTGGCAGTGCTTCCAGTGCTGCTCTCCCACAAGCTCTGCCTCCTGCCGCGGGCCTTGGCCTGTCGGCTTCCCTGCCTCCATGCTGGCACCCTAGAGGGATCTCAGTTCTTTTGTTTCCTTCCCGCCTCACCCACCACCAGAACCACGTCCAGGGCTAGGGCAGAGTGGAAGAGTGGCACTGCGCACCTGCAGCGCTTTCCCAGGCCCCGGGAAGTCGAGTTCAGGCCCTTGCAGTTAGGCCGGGATGAACCTGGAGGCCCAGGTCTGTAACTGAGGGGGTGGGTGGGCGCGCCCTCCCTCTCTCCCTTCCTCTTGGAAAAGAAAAGCCGCCCAAAGTTCCTATGGGCCAAGTTCAAGCGGCAGCCGCTTTCTTGTTTACAACCTGGGCCGGGCAAGGTGCGCAGCGCTCCAGGGAGGGTGGGCGGCCGCGGCTGCCCGAGCCACCGACAGCGGCACCGGGACCGGCCCCCTTCCTCCGCCGCGGCCGGTGCCGCGCGCCCCTCCTCCCGCCCCCGGGTCCCGGGTGGCGGCCCCGCCCTCGCCGGCCAGGCCGTCCTGTCCCCGCCTCCTCGCCCCGGGCTGCAACAGGTGCCTCCCCGAGCAGGAAGCTCGCGCCGCCGCCGTCCCGCTGCGCTCGGTTTCCCCCGACGCGTTCAGGACCTGCTGCGCCAGGCGCGCCGTCCCCCGGGCCCCGCGTGCGTCCCCACGAGGAGAGTGACCCCACCGCCCGACCTTCTCCTCCTGCCGCCGGCCAGGGGCCCCGGGGGCCAAGCGTGCCCGGCCGCAACTCTCGCAGCCCTTTCGCCGCCTTGCAAGCCATGGACGCCACGGAGCCGCAGCCGGACCCCGATGGCGGGGACGCCCCTGGCCACGAGCCAGGGGGCAGCCCCCAGGACGAGTTCGACTTCTCCATCCTCTTCGACTATGACTATCTGAATCCTATCGAAGGTCGGTGGAGGCTCCTTCTGCCCGGCGCCGGGAGCCCAGGCAGGGGTGTGGGCAAGTGGCCCCTCTTTGCTCCGGATAACGACCCTTCTTGGTGGTGGAGGAAGGGCCGATGGTGTGGGGAGAAGCCTCCCCAGGTGAGAGGAAGAGGAGGCACTGGTGGACGCCGCTACCCTTAGGGGGCAGCACCTTGGCTCGTAGGGGCGTCGGCTTCCAGTTTCTTCCCGGGGTCGCTGTTGGCGAAGCCCCAGACGGCGGGTGCCAGGGTGGGGTTGGCTCCGCGGGCTCCTTGCCTGGGAGTGTCCGTCAGAGGCCCCGGGGAGGGCTTTGCTTGCTCTGAAGGGAGGATGTGAGGCAGTAGCCTGGAGTATGCCAGGGACAGGCCCCTCGGGAGGTCGCCGCCGCCTCGGCGTGCGAGCAGCGCGTGCTGGAGACCTTGTGTGCTGACGCGAGGAGGCGGCCGTTTCCTCCTGCATCGCCGCTGTGTTTGGGTTGGGATGGCGGGTGGAGGGTTGTCCCGGAGTGGACCAGGCTAAGCTGGTCTCAGTGTTCGGCAGCCTCCAGCCCTAAGAGGTGGGTGGGTGGGAGGTGTGAGTTCAGGAAGACAAGCTGGAGCTATTTCTGGCCGAGCTCTTGTCGCCGCTCAGCGCCTCCAGCTGCCCTGTCTTGCAGGGGGCCGGGGACTTCCCCAGGCTGGGCCGGTGCTCGTCTGTCATTTCACGTTTTGAGCAGGAGCCTTCAGCAGGAGGGGGAGGAGGAGGTCACAGATCGCTGTATTTTTCTGGTTAGCAGGTTGTCTTGGAAAAAAACACACCAAAAAAAAAAAAAAAAAAAAACCCTAAGCAGGCTTCCTGATTTTGACAGCCCAGCCCAGCCCAGCCCGGCCAATGCTTATTGCCAGCTCACTTCAGGGCGAGCCTATTGGTGACTTCTAGATGCTGCTTGTGGCAGGAGGGTAGATCTGGTGGGCGAGGCCTGGAGGGCTCCTTGGTGGTGCCCTGGTGGGCTGCCGTGCTAGGCAGCTGGATGGAGCGGCTGTCCTGCTCGTCTCGCCCTTGGCCTTGCTGGCCACCGTAGGGGAGGGGCTGGATTCGGCTTTGGCTCCTGTCTGCACTTGGTGAAGGCAGGTGCTGATTGGTAGCAAGTTTGTGTTTGGGATGGAGATGGGTCTCGGGAGAGCTGCAATCTGGAGGCCATCTTTACTTTGAAAAGATAAAATGAAGGTTCTGCAAACTATCCCTGCTGACATCAGTATTCTCTGTTCGTTAAGATTAAAGTCATGTTTCGCAGGGGACGAATACCCCCTTTCCAAGATTTACAATTGGTTAGCTTTCTTTTTTGGGGGGAGGGTGTGGGGGTTTCCAGGAAATAGCTTCCAAGCTGAATGTGGTGGGAGGTTCTTCTCTAGTTTTTCTTGGCAAGAGTGGTTTGGTGGCCACCAGATGGGTATCTAAATGACCACAATGAAAACTCTGGAATATTTTTTTTTAAATAAAGTGTATTTTTCGGAACAGTCTCATATTTACAGAAGCGTTATAAAGACAGGACACAGTTTCCATACATCCCAGCTCCCAGTTTTCTCCTATTAACATTGTACATCAGTAATGGGACCTTTGTTTATAGTTAACGAACCAATACTGACACGTTCTTTTTTAAATCCATCCTAGATTGTTCAGGTTTGTGAAGTCCTTGTTTTTATGACCTTGGCAGCGGTGAGGATTCTTGAGGGGGTAACTGCTGGTGCTTCATAAAGTTCACGCAAATGGGGAACTCAGATCTTGGTGCAAAATAATTCTGGAATCCTTGCAAAGGAGGTGGTGTTCAGAAGCTTCCTGCAAAATGCAAAGGGTGGAAAAACTTGGAGGATTTCAAACACTTTTTGCATCAGAATAAATTCCCTGGTCTCTGTGTAGCACCCTTGGGTTTTCCTGATATTCTTTTCTCTGATTTAAATTAGAGCTTGGGGTTCCTGGGAGGCCCAGTTTGAAGGTGGATTGTCCCTCTGAAGAGCAAGTTGAGTGTGCGTTTCTCAACTAGGCTGATGTTGACTGGGGTCACTTGATAACAGGCTTCCATACAAACCATGCCCGGGAAGGAAGTTCCCGGGTGCATCCTGCCTGTAAGGAGGCAGAGAGCTGCCCCCTGAGACCAGGCAGGAAGAGCAGGGACCGTGTGAGCTTGGCAGGGCTGCTCTGGGAGGCAGGTGTGGGTCCGGCTCCCACAGGTACACTCCCCTCCCCCCCCCCCAAAGCCACGTGGCAATGTCTTTCTTGGCTTTTGTGGAGTGGAAGCCCCCACCCTTGGACTTACACATTGCGTGCTAATGTGTACATTCAGCTTCTGGGTACAATGCAAATCGAGCGAGGATGGGGACTGCTCACAGGGACAGAACTGGTGAGCAGCATTAGTGAGGGACTGTGGTACCTAGCGGGCAGGCTGAGCAGCGGGTTCTGTTATCCCTGCACCTTCCCACTCCCCCACTTGCAGAGGGGCACAGCAGGGCACAGAGAGGTAAAGTAATTTTCTCCAGCCTGCAGAGCTAGTAAATGGCAGAGCTGAAATGTGAGCCGCCACGCCCCGTGCTGCGGTGGGAGGGATCCTTGTCCTGCAGTTGATGAGAGACACGTGTGAGCCAGTTGGCAGGGGCCTGAGACCAGGGCACAGCCAGGATTGGAAGCATTCGCCACGGGGGCCATCTTGAGCAAGTTTCCAAGCTTCTCTGCTTACCTGGGCAGTGCCTGGAGGCACAGTGCTTAGCTCCAGGGCTGTGGGCACACTCGGTCCAGCCCGTTAACACAGGGTGTGGTTTGTTCCCTGCAGTTCATTAGCCCCATGGCTTTTGTTAAATAGAGGTGCTCAGACCTTGTGAGCTATTATTCACATACTCATCAAGGAGCTGTTGAGTACCTGCTGTGTTAAATCCTGGGATACCTGTGCTGGGTGACTAAGGCCCTCTCCTCCCCCACTCCTGCCCTGGGTTGGGAGGTGAGGCCTCCGTTGAGTCCTCTGATCTGTTGTCTTGTCTGAACATAACATAGTAGAAGTAGTAGGAATCCTGGCCTTAGTTTTGGCTCTAGCGGGAGTACCTCTAGCACTGGCTTTAGGATGGCGATGTGTGCATGATGCACCATTTTGTTCTGAAAGGGAGCTCTTTTCTGCTGGTTTCCTCCCCAGATGGCAGCAGTGGCCTCCAGCAGGAGCCAGGAGTGCTTAGTCCTCCCCCATGGCAGCAGGAACCCAGTTACTTGAGTCATCCCTGAGCCTCCTGGGGTCTGCATTTGTAAGCAGGTGGCATTGGGAGCACCAATGTGTGAACCCAGCGATCAGATGTGGGCTGCGGGCATCTGAATTGCTAGGCCGAATGCCTGCCCAGGATACATTTAATTATGTTAAAAGAAGTACACTCATCCATCCATTCCTATTTCCTTGAGATATTTTTTAGGTATGGGAGTTTAATCAAGAAGCTTCTTGACATTCGTGCAACAATGATTTTATTCTTTTGAGACCCATGAATATGGTGGCTTGTACTGACTGGTTTTCTAATATTGACACATTCCTGGTATACACTCCACTTGGTTATTGGGGTGGCATCTATTTGATGCTGTTTCGTTTTCCCAGCAGACTTGACAAAGATTTGTGTGCACTGCTGTCAGGTTGATGTTTCTGTTCGTCTTGGCCCGGGAATGCTTTGTAACTCATGGCATTCTGGTTTGGAAAATTTGATAGAATTTCTCAGATGTTTTTAGGAGAGTTGTTTCTTTTTAAATTTTGTATTTGTTTATTTGATGGTGCTCGTTCACTTACTTGGGCTTCAAATGCTCTTGGTGGAAACTGGGAACTGGCAACACAGTCCCAGGCTCCCAAGGGTGTGGCAGGACCCCACTCTCTGGGCCCGTCACTGCTGCGTCCCAGCTCTGCGTCCGCAAGCATCTGGACCCGGGAGCCGAGCTGACAGGGCTGAGTCCAACCCGCGTCCTCCAAGGTGGGGAGGGGCCCAGCTGCTGGTCCAGGCACCCACCCGGAGCTGTCACTGCATGACTTCCTCTGTGTGTCCACAGGCATTGGGCTGCTTTACACTTTCTATTTCTGCTGGAGTCAGTTTTGGTGGTGAATGACATCTGACTGAGAAATCGTCCCTTCCATCTGTCTAGATTTGAGACAAAAAAACCACATTTGCTTGATGTTCCAAGGGGACATCTGCTTTTTGTGTGTATGTTGTTGGGGAGGTCAGAAGCCAGGGATGATGTGATGGTGCGGGCAGAAATGGGCGGCCTTACTGAGGTCACGGACCCGTCACACTGAGTGCTGGTCCTGTGCCAGGTCCTGTGGGAATGAGAGATGAATTAGTTGTGGTCTCTGCCCTTTTCTGGTCCTCAGGGCATTATGGGACATGGTAAACAAATAATGACAAATGAGGTGCTGTGATATAATATCTGTGTGTGTGTGTGTGTGTGTTTATGATGCTTACTAAAAATAGAAGCCAGCCAGCAGGTTCGCTAAACACACATGGCTTTCAGGCATTGCTGTCTGTGTTGTGTTAAGCACAGACCTTCGTAAACCTGCGCTGGGCAAATAACGTCTCCAGGTGCAGCTGGAAAGGTGAAGTGGGGCTGAAATCAAGCTCTGGTCATGCCAGGGAGGCAAAGGGAATGGACTAAGGTGGCCTCCATCAAAGGCTTCCCAACTGAGCACAGGGCATCCTGGGTTCAGGCGCCTGGTGCCCCTGTGCTTCAGGCGGCCTTTGGTTTTGATTGGGGAGCAACCTCGCTGTCAGCCTGGGGTGGGCAGTATTGGCAGCTGGGTTGCCCCGGGCTCACCGACCCTGTGAGGTGGCAGGTTTACTAAATTTGGAGAACACAGCTTAGGCTATTTCTCTAGCCTGCCTCAGCGATACAGTATCCACCTGGCCAGAGGAGTCGGTCTGTTTGGGGAGGGGGGTGACTTAAGTTGGCGGAGAGTCATGCATTAGAAAGTAATGAGGACTGGATGCTGGGGATCCCCCA